CTCCGCTGCGGGCACGGCTGCGGCTGCGGCCACCCAGAGGAAAAGCAGCAGCTGCACTTAGCCTGCCAGCGCCAGACTGACTTCTACACACCAGCCGCGGGAACCGACCTCCCCTAGCGCGCGGGATAGCAGAGGAGGGGCTCCTTTATGTTCCGCCAACCACCCCAGTGCTGCGGGGCACCTGCGAGAGGCGCTTCTCAGCGCTGGTCCCCGGATGCCGCGACGGGGCTCCCGATAGCTGAGCGCTGGGCACCTCGTCAGCGCCTGGGCAGGCGCGCTGGCCGCCCGCTCTGCAGAGCACCTGCCTTTTAAACATCTCACTTGAGTCTTTAAAGAAGGCAGGATCCTAGAATCGGAATCCTCTCACGTAGCTCGCTCGGGAGAGCGAGCGAGCGAGCGAGCGGTCGGGATGCGCGAACCTCTCCCCCTAGTGTGCAGTTATTTATAGCTCAAACTCCGGCGCCACTCTGCGTGTACCCGCGCATCCGCTCCTCCGCGGCCGTGCAAACTTTTCCTCGGGTCCCGCTATCCCCGAGGAAGCAAGGCGGGGTGGCAGGGCTGAACATTACTTATCTCTAGTGTGAGGAGGCTCAAAACGTGGTTTGGGGGTGTGTATTGCTATACGTTCCTTGCAGAAGTTCGACCATCGGCACACGCGTAGCCGGCAGCTTAGCAGCACGGCTCTCTTTCTCTGAATGGGCTCAGCCGCAAGGCCGATTGCAGATGTGCAAGCCGGAGTCAGAGGTCAGGCTGTTGGAAAGAGTAGACCATAGGACTGGGTGGCGGAGTGCACGAACAGAATGAGGAAAGGCAGCGTCCAATCACCAAGTTTTCAGGAATAGATGAAGTGAGGAGCGATACATACTCCCTCCTTCATCACTACCACGACCGCAGTCGAACAGATTCTCCCCGTACACCGCAGTAAACAGGATTACATGTATTCTGCTTTCAAAATATAGGAAAATCAACGCAGACATCAAGCCTGGAAGATGGTGGGGGGTGACACTGCTCAGAAGCCAGACACTTCCATTGACAGGATTTATTTTTCCCCAGCTCCAACTACAGGCACTGAAAGGTATTTTACCTTTTGTCAGTGGTTCAAAGGAGACGAAGGAAAAATAATAATAACCATATACGGACGTATGTAGCTGGCCAAATGAATCCTGCTCTCTCAAACCAAGACCAAGCCTCAGAGTACAGGTCTTTCGGAAGGTTTGTCCACTCTGACTCCTGAACTACGGGTTGCGAGCCAAGTGATTGGAGACTTCTCATCCCAGGCGACATCTCATTACACAGCGCCCTGCCCCAGCCCACCCTCTGCCTCCTCCGCCCGACCGAGCCCGC